GTCATTGAAATGAGCTCCCAACAAATATCAGGGAACATTTCAGCACATCTCTGCTGATCCCTCATTACCAGATCAGGCCATCCCTGCAGAGATGGGTTGAGTAAAAGGTCACATAAAGAATGTAAACATCTGAGACTCTACCACATACTCAAACGCACAGAGTAATTTTCCACTGCTTGAAAAACACACCACACACAATCCCCCTTCCTCTCAGCCTAAATCTAGCACCATGGCTACACAGAACAAATATTTTTTCTATTTTTTTGTCTTCTTCTTTTCTTAGATAAAGAGAGAAGGTTAAAAACAAGGCTGATGAAAGAGGTCGGGTTTCACCCCACTGGCTACGTTTACAAGACTTCTGTTATTTTACTATAGCAGTCGCCTTCTATTTACTTCCACCTTTTGTTTCCGCCTCTTTCTTCTGTAATCTTAAAGCAAACACAAAAACACATCAACTTAGGCTCAGATTAATCACCTTCACCAACTATAGAACATTACGAAACATGTGCATTCACTTCCACAAACTGGATTTGCATAACTGGGCATTCAGTTGTTTTAACAGTGGAACAGACTTGGATCTACAGGTGCTTCTGTGGCAACCATTGGCTGGAATCCTGTTGAATATGCAGATAAAAAAATAAATACCTCAGAAATCTGAAAAGAAACATGAATCCAGATTTGAATTAATTAATTTTGATTAATTTAATCACAGATAAGCAGATCTGATTAATTTAATCACATATAAGCAGATTTTAGCCTCAAAAAAGCCTCAAAGGTGTGATAGAGAACATCAGTGAGCATACTGCATCATGAAGTTATGGTTAGTTGTTTACTCCACAAATCTTACTTTTTTCGAACAGTTGCAAGTATATGTTATATTTCAAATAAAGCCATAAAAAGTTATGTTTGTCTGCGTAAGAGGCACAGCAAACATGTAAAGAGATGGCCTGTCCACATTAAAACCAAAATTAAACCTTTTGACCTACATGCAAGATGTTATGTGTACCAAATAAGAAAAACTTGTTGTCAATGATGAAATAGTTTAGAATATTTCAGGTAAAGTTCAGACAAAAGTCCAACTGAGAATCTTCTGCATTACCAATAAGTTCTTCAACATGTGTGACTCAGTTTGAGCCATTTTGCAAGAAAGATCTTGTGACAAAACAAAAACTCTAAAGCATTGTCTGAAGGAGGTTGAATACAAACGCACTGCACACATTTCAGTTTTCCCTTCCACTTCTTAATTATGCATTGCTATATATTGGTCTCTCATTAAATCCAAATACATTATATAGAAATCTACTGTTCTATCGCCACAACATGCCAGAAAAGTTCAATACTTTTGCAAGACACTGTGCATGTATGCATTTCCCAACCAAGATGCAATAAAAAGGGTCTTTCTGCAGGTCAGGTATCACAGCATGTGGGGGACACAGCCAGCGGTCTGAGTGTCGCATCCCAGCAGCAGCAGCGGCAGCAGCACAGAGAGCTCAGTGTGCTCCTCCTTCACACACCATCTGACCATCGCACCGTCAGCAAGAGTGCATCAATTTCTGCCGCTGCACAAAACCCTAGTGTCTGGTTTCTCTCAGTAACCCTGGCCAAAGCACTGCTGCCCTTTGTTCCCACTTTAAATAAAACATAGCCCACTCATTTGGTAAAAAAGGATCCCCTTGTGCATAATTCAAGAGATGGGTATCAGTTTAAGGGAAGTTTTTTTTTTCCTTTCTTGTAAAGTAGCCTCTTCTGCTACAGATTGTACAGCAATTAGAAGAGTTATATCAGTATTTATTGCTGTCCCCTGGATTTTACACCAGCCATTGCATCAGACTGGTGTATATTCTAAGTTATCTACAGAACACGTTGTTTGAAAACAGTGAATCACGAAAGGTGGGGATGTTTTTCCTGCCTCTTATCTGTTTTCTAATCAGTTGATCAACGCAGCCCGACTGGTCATCACAGCAGGTTTCCAGAGAAAAGGCAACAAAAGTTTTCTCAGCTGACAAAAGACAGTGAAGGAAGAGAGATGATCATAGTCTTTGACAAACATTTTGATTTGTTTTGCTACATTCAATAAAGCAACTGAGAGCAACAGCAGATCCACTTCAAGGACACGCGATTTTCCAACAGTACAACTTTAATAACTAAAACTGAAGGATGTTTTTAAGTAAATAATATTTAATCACATCGATATCCCCTTAATAAGTGAATTATTAAACAAAAAGCCAACTGTCGACAACCGAAACTGAGGCGTGAGGGCGATACGGATATGCACCTGCTGCCGCCGAGTCGTTTCACCTACCTGACAACATTCACGCGCACTTGATGACTTTTCTTGTTTTCCTCGATTGGGTCGCCTGTCCTAGAGATAGAAGCAGCGAAAATATAACCGCATGACCTCCCAGGAACAAGTCCTTTCACTGCGCCATGAGTAGTGTGGCTGGTAATGAGCTTTCCGTTTCCTCTCCTCGCAGTGAGATTACCTTAGTCCCTTCCCTGGGGACAGAACAGGCTGAAAGGTAACGGAGAAACGAGCAGACCAATCAGATGCCGTGGTGGGCGGGTCTTTGGAAAGCAGGAAACGGCATTGGTCATTTGATAATTCATGGAAGACCACTGTAAAAAATGTCTCCTGTCCTGTTTTAATGAGGACAGGATCATCGTTAAGGATCAACAAGACCAACAAAAGAAATGTCTTTAACGAGTCAAACTAACAATAAACCGATGGGGAAAGAAAACTCTTAATGCATGCATTGTCTGACATTAAGACATATGATTAAGTATCTAGTGACAAAAACCCCATCAAATTATCTTTAAATATATAACCACACATATTTCACAGACTATTGTTTCTAGTTTGGTATATATTACACTATATTTGTTAAAAGTAGCACTGCTTTCCTTTTAATAATTATTTGACAAAAAATATAGTAAAGTTTGAATCTCTAAATAAATGGCTGATATGGTGAACAAAACAACTATAAGTCAACAAAAAAGATTACCAAATTTATGCAGCAAAAGAGAAAGTTTCAAAACGATGGTATTCTGTATTTTCCAGGCACATAAAGTGCCTTTTTATGACAACTCTTAAGTTGTCATAAAAATGCCTTGCATATCAAAAGAAGAGGTCTTTTTTCAGTACTTATGCAATCAGAAGTGCTGGAAACCAAGGCATTGGTTTAAGATTGGAAATCAAAATGGCAACATAAACGAGTGCAATGGTTATTGAGAAAGGTGAGATGAGCATGACTAAAGCATAAAACTGTAACCAATGGTGCATGGCTCTTAAAAGAAGATGTGCATATTCCAAGATTAAATAAATAAAATAAAATCCAAGCAGAAAACGAACTGAGAAAAAAGTCAAATTTATAAACAATTAGAGTTTATAGTAAGAGTTTTGAGGTCAGCATTCTGTGGACTGAGATAGGCTAATCATTCATAAGAAGCTCTGCAATGCAAAGCTATATAAACTACATTGAATAGTTTTGTGGTTATATGCACAGGAAGATTAACTGAGCACAAATTTTTATTTAGAAATAGACAAATCAAAAAGGCTGACATATTTGGATTGTTTTCAAAGTCAGGAACTGAACAATTTTACGTTTGCAAAAGAACAGTTTGTTAAATATTTAACATGGACATTTAAACCACATTAGATTTGACTATGATACAATAGCTAAAAATCTTTAGATTCATTTGCACTCATTTCAAGTCTAAGACCTACTTTATAAACCTGGCAAGGTCTTTTAGGGCCAGAAACAGAATTTGAATCAGGCATTTTCAACTCCTGTTGTAAACCAAAGTTCAACTAATATCTAGGTTTGAATGTTGTGCATTATTTACCTCCCATTAGGAATTTTATAGTGTAAAACTAGGCACAAAGTTATAAAACTGCATTAACTGACGGTACAACTGCATGTTTTATGTTAAATATTTGTTTGTTGAGAAAAGGTCCCAAACGGAATTTATAGAGCACATACTGGGTAAGCAGAAAATGAAAGTTAGTCCACAGTCAAACAATACTCCTTTCCAGACAATGTGTGGCCTCTGTGACGGTCCTGGAGCCCTTGCCACTCTTCTTGTGTGTTAGAATATCATTTATTGCACACGGCCACCGTCATTTGTGGACTTATTTGATTTTCAGTTTTCAGATATCCCAGACTGAAACAATTATATTCAGTCAGCAACAAAACCTTTAAGAGCAAAGCCCTTACAAAACTCTACATTTAAAAACAACAGCAAGTTATGCCCCTTAAACTTATTTTTTCACAATACTCCTAATAAATACATTTTACTTAAAAGTGGCAAAAACTATTATGAGGAAAAAGGACAACTTATGAAGTTAAATTTTTCAGTTGTATGAAACACAAATCATGATTTTATGTTGGAGTTTTATAACAAAGAAAAAAAAATCTATTCCAATGAGAGCATTTATTTCCTTTGTAATTTTTTAAAGCTAAACTTCAACCCAATGATTAAAAAGACTTAAATGAGAAAAGGAAAAGATGCCTTGTACAACTTTTCTATTCTTTTGTTGATATTTTTATGCAGATACTGCATCAACATCTATCAAAACAGGTCAAACTTTTCAATTTCTTCTCCGTCTTTATTGATTTCCACCATTTAAATTTAACATTGCTCAGCTGACTACTGAAATGCTGCTCAGGATTTGTATTCTGTGCAGACAGAAAAATCTTTATCTTTCGTTGTTCTTGGTGATTAGAAGTGTTCAGGTGAGTGGTTCCTAAAGTTTCAGCTTCTGAATCAGAAATCGACAGCGGTAAAGACTTGTATATCCTGAATTATAATTCAGGATATACAAGTCTTTACATGGTGAAAGTGAAAGGGAAAAAAGTTTCTCCAGCTCTGAGAGGATTTGTCTTTTGAGTGAGTACTGAAGGTGTACCAAAGCACCTTTGGATACAGAATTCCGTTGATTTGAATTAATTCATAGCATTTTGTCATTTGCACATAAAGCAATCAAGATTTGCTTACACATATCCATATATATATATATTTTATTCTCAATACGGCAAAATACAAAGAATATTTAGGACAGACTCCCATTAGTCACAATTAATACTCACTTCACAAGAATGCTTTTAAATTACATAACCTAAGTTTGAAGATCAAACTCAACAGGTACCTTTAAAACATATTGCATCCATCATATATAGTATCTCTATCAGTTCTCTTAAAAGTAGCCAAATTCAGATTATTGTACATTGTGTAAGCTACTGGTCTCCTTACAGAGACGGCTTCTTGTTTTTTTCTTTTTTCTTTTTTAGAAAAGTTCTTCTACAACATACTGTAGAAACTGCTACAACTGCTCTGAGGTGAGGCGAAATCCCTCAGTTTCAAAAGACATGTTGGACACGGTAAATTCATGTCTCTCTTTCTCAGGAGGAAGCAGACAACAGACTGTACATGTCATCCATCCGACACGTGAGCTCAACAATATACACTTAATGAAATACACAGCTCAATATCAAATACAGAGAAGACAAAAAATATCCGCATTTGGATTTAAGAGACGTTACCAATTATGTGGTGACCGTGATACTATGACAGTGAGAAGAAGACAAAGTATACAAGCACGTTCGAAGAAAAATGGAGAAATCAATTTGATTTACAGTGTTAACACACTGGGATTTCATCTGTAACAACTTGGGGGAAGAGAGGAAAAACAAATGTGCATAAAGTCTCACAATATATTTACAGCATTTTTTTCCTTTTCAATTTAATAAAAAAATGCCAACCTGGAGTAAAAAGTTACCCTTAAAGACATGTTATATTTACAATTTATACAACTGTATTTAAATAGAAACATGCAAGTGTTAACATCTTCCTAACGAATGTCCAAAAAGAAGAAAAAAAAAATAATAAAAGCAATAACTTCATCTTACCCTGGATTCGTTCAAGTTAGATCAATTACTACTTACAAAAAATCTCAACAGCTCAGAAACATTTACATCTTGCTATTTCATAAAATATTTGTTAAAAAGGTGAAACAAAAGAAAACAAATGGGCAAAAAAATAAATAAGCGTGAGTAGCAAAACTGCTAAAGATTATTCTAATGCTATTTTCTGTTTTTAAATTTCATTACGAGATAGTGTAAGGAGCACAAGGCGCAGATCTTAACTTACAAAGTGTACCAGTGTATGAAGACAGTGATTGGGTCAGCGAAACCCACTGAAGAAAGGACGACTCCAGCTTTTGTGTTTGGTTATAAAAAACAAATAATTATTATATACACAAATATTATACAACATTACAGAAAATTGCAAAAGCTAAAGGCATTGGCCGCTTGAGTTGAACAGGTTTCTCACTGAGGTGGAAAAAAGGAAGAAAAATCTGAAGCATAAAAATGATTTATATCCCTTTAAAAAATTTTTTTTGTTTTTTTTTTGTAAAAATCCTGCATAGATTAAAAATAATACCTCCTCTGACTTTTTCCTCTTGAAGTATAAGAGAAAATAACAGTATTCCCTCTAGCAACAGAAGTCCAGGGAGCCAGTGGAAAACTCTAAAATATACAAGCAACAAGAAAAATGGTCCAAGCTGGGCCAAACCGTAAGCAGTATTTAGATACAAAAAAAAATAAAAATAAAAAAAGAAGCTAAATAAATCTTCTAAACTTTGTGGCACTTTCTCATTTTATCAAGAAAAATCAACCAATAATTTTAGCACAGTACTATTTGACCCAAGCTTGGGATTTCCAGCATGTTGTCTGAAGAATCAAAAATAAAAGTTTCTCCAAGTAGTGACAATGGCATCTAAAAGTCCATAAGCATTATAACTATAGATGCACCAATCAGTCAGAGATCAAATCAGACAATTTTAACCTTGATCTGCAGCTCAAATAGAGAAAATTATGTTTTTTCCCCCTAGTTCACTAAATGTAATCTATTTTCAGTATATAAAAGTGTCAACCAAGTGAATTTCAACTTTTTGAGATTAACAGATGAATGATCAAAACAAATGATTCATGGATTCATCAAAGAACCTGGAGAACGCATTTCCCGTTTTCCGTGTTATGTTCTTTTAGAAAGGAAAAATATATCCAAATTGGTCAAAATCATCACGTGTGGGTCTGATTTAAAAGAAAATAGGAAGCCTAGTTGGTGCATCTTTAACTATAAGCTTTATTAGCATCAGTAATTCAACATATCTGGAGAACAACCAGCTGTAGTTACTCAATGCGTCTCCAATTTCCTTGTAAGAAAAGTATACGGTAATTTCAATTTTAAAAATGTCATTGCTTAATAACAACAACAACAGTACAAACACATGTTCATATACTTCCCCCCAATGAGTCTTGCATTTTGCTCTAGCAAAAAGACAAATGATCTGCTTGGCATATAAATAGAATCTATAGAGGTCGTTATATTTCTTTTCTGAGATATACAAAATCTTTCTCACATAAATACAACACTGCTAATCTCTTCAATGATAAGATTTGTCCCTCTTACAAGAAAAAAAAATCTCATCTTTACTTTTAATTTGTCTTAGCCCTGACGAATCAGAAAAACCTTGGTTTGTTTTAAAAACTACAGAATAAATAACTGCATTTGCATTGTATGTGTGGACACAATCTGCAATACTTTTGACAATCCCTGCAGTTCCTTAGAAAAATACACTGTTAACAAAGGGATCAAAAACAAGCGAATAACACCATGTGGGAGTGGCCCTTGCTTGAGGAAATTTCTAAAACAATGTAGCGATAAAAGTGTCTCTCAGGAGCTGTTGATAGAATAAGTTTAAATTATTAAGCTAACTTTCTCCAGTTTTACAAGAATCTAAATTATTGACTGTCTCTGACAAATATAATTACACCATTTAAAAAATGATCTTAGAATGAGTCCGCATCACCTGAAGCCCATTCTGGTATTTTTAAATTTGGTCAGAATCCTCCCTACACTTTCCTCCAGAGAGCTGAAACTGACCATCTCTGTAATCCTCTTAAAAAGACTTAAAATTGTTTTTGTTTTTTTTAAAGTATAACTGCCAGCCCTAATTTGCTACTAAAAGATGATTGAAATGCCATCAAGTGAGGAAAAACATATTAAAAAAGAAATCAGATTGTATTTGTGACTTTTCCTGTAGCTCATTTACAAGGCACAAAAATGATAAAGAGAAACCTTCATTTTAAAGCACCTTTGGTGTTTCTGGGAGGTACTTTGGTGAAATAAAGTTTAAAAATAAAGTTAAAAGCCAAAGTAGCCTAAAAAGCCAAAGAAAAAAATCACAGGTTTAGTGTACTCATAAGAAATAATTCCCACAGCACTTTTAGCAGAAGAGATAAAAAAAAGATCTTGAAAATTTTAATAAAAGCGTCAAAATGTGAAGCGAGGCCAGACGTTCTTGGGATATTTGATGTGGTGCTGCTGAAGGTGTGAGATTTTCTAAATTGCTCAGTGTTGTTTTGGCAAGCTGGTGCAGAAAAATGGACACAGTGTTGGAGATATGTCTCAGAGGTTAACAGCATAAGAATACATGGAGGACCAGAGGTGGGCTGTGTTTACAGAGTATGTATCCGTCTTGTGTCTTGAGCACGCGCTAAGTATGAAAGGCTGAGGTGTGAGTGTGTGTGTGTGTTGTGTGTGTTTGTTTGAGGAAGCAGCTTGCAGTGATCAAGTCCTCGCTAGTGGCTAAGATTAGCGTCCAGTCGCAGCCAGTGGAGACCCTGCCGAGTGTAACGCACCAGTTCTGTCATGCTGCTGGTGTTGAAGATCAGAGGACCCATCACTTTGTCCAGCTCAGCGAAAAATTCTGGGAAAGCAAAAGAAAACAAACAAAAGGTAAACAGCAGGTAACAGCTAAGCGTCAAGTAAAAGCCAGAAGATGGTGTCATTAAAAGTCACATCAATGACTCAAAATCCATATGATATATCTCAAATGTTTTCCAGTCTCGAACAGGTTTTCTTCCATTTCTTCCCTGATGAAGAAATGAATCCCCACAGCATGTCGCTGCCATCACCATGTACCATGGAGGAGATGGTCTTTACAGAACATCTATACTGGGATCAAATCAGACACAGAAGGACTATCTCCTAATTAGGAAACTTTTGAGAAATAATTTGGTAAGAATAAAAATAAGATTGAATAAATACACACATCAGACTGTTCAGGTTTTCATTTGGAAAACATTTCTGTCTGCATATATTCTTCAGTACTGATTTTATTTCACTTTTTAAATAATTAAAATGTGAATGCAAGAGTCATGACATCTGGAGCCGTATATTCTTACAACAGATAAGTTTGGAATAACAAACTATAAAACCTGCCCTTTTACCTTTCTGTTCCTTGGAAACCTGCTCCGCCTGGTCCCAGATCTCTGTGGCGTACAGGAAGTTAGAGGTGACCTGGACGTAGCTGGCAGCCATCTGGTGGATACGCTGAGGTATGGTCACAGATGAGCTAGCACTGCTGTTGCTGCTGACTGATGAGTAGCTTCCTGCTGTGCCTGGTGAGAGTTTGGGTGACACAGGAGAGGGCATTCCTGCTGCCTTACTGCAGACAGAAACAGAAAAAAAAAAAGTTTAATGGCTGTTTTTTGGGATATACATGCACTGACTCACAAAACTTGGTTTTTGCATTGCATTACATATGACATGCATGTAGCAGAATATTTAAATTAACATACAATAATAAAGTTAACTTCTATAAGAAATGACAAGGTATGAAAAGTAAATATTTAAATGCAAAGCTAAAGGGGATCACGTTTTTTCTGAAAATCTATCAGACACGTCTGTACAAAATCTTCAAGAAATATTTCTCCTACACAGCAAGATTACATTTCCAAACAAACAGATTCAGGTGACTTACTTTCCCATTCCAGGAGAGGGAGCCTGGGTGTTACTCAGGGAATTCTGTCAGAAGAAAATAAAGTGAAAGAACATTATGTGCAAAGAAAATGCATATTTACAGATGAAAACATCATGCATGGCATATTTAATGACATTAGAAAGCTTTCCAAAGAAAACTGGATTGGAGCTTATAGAAGCTGGATTACCTTCAAATGTTCTGTGAGAGTTTTGGAGTATTTTAGAGCACTGTCTTTCCTCAGCTTGAACAATCGCAGATAGAGAAGAGACTGGCATTTGAGACTGCAGAGAAAAATGTGGACAAAGACTTTTAGAACTCAAAAATAGAGTGACTGTTTATTTACAAACACATTTACATAAACTAACAGCCATGTCTAAGTAGTTTTGAGGGTTCAGGACACTCCACCCACTTGAAATGAAGCATCATCATGTGGTGTCAGTAAATGCACTTACCAAAGGACAGCTAGCCTCTTGTCTGCTGAAGTGGCATCTGGGGCCATGTAGCTTTTTAACTTCATAGTGTATCTGAGTGTACAGGCAGGATGGAGTTGTAGGTTAATAACACAGACATTTTAGTAAAAAAGGACTGCAAGAGATTTACATAAAACATAAAAACATATTCAGGAGCAGCAGCAGAACTTGACAATCTTCACTAAATCTTAGAGCCACTAAAAGTTTCATACAAACATGCAAGCTGTGTTTAGTAATTCCTCAATGGTTTTGTGTGTTTATTGTGGTTTGCTAACCTGATGAGTTCCACTGTTTCAGCATACATCGGGAAGGGTGACTTGGCTTCTTGCGCGCTCTTCTCCAGAGCGTTACCGCATTCGATGAACGAGACCACGGCATCCAGGTAGTACACTGCCTTTTCAAAACGGTTTGTCTGTAAAAGAGTGTAATCAAAACACTAATAAATTGTGGGGCAAATACTTTTATTGTGTCTCTATATACAGAACTAAATGTTGACATTTTATTGAATTTCATACTAACAGCATACGCTTGTTGATTTTGCAGTGGAAGTTTTTGTGTGGCCCTTTGACTCCAGCAACAGAGTACAAATAATGACTTTAGAAAACTGAAACATTTTTAAGCTTGTAAATCTGTATGTGAGAGTATGCAGCTAAAAGATGTTGATTCTGTAACAGGGAGATTATGACTCATGAATTTGAAAAAAAACAATCAAAAAAACAATAAAACTAAATCACATTTTAAAGTAGACCTGCATAAAGCAGATAACATTACAATCTATTCAGCTATTAAACTTTTTGTTGGGGAGCAGAATGTGAGTGAATGACAAGATGTAATATCTAACCAAATAGAGGATCCAAACAGTCCCTTGCAAATCAAATATAACAAATATAGAAACTGCAATAAGGATTGAGAATTAACATCTTGCATAGGACTAATTTTGTGGAAATAATATTAATTTGAACTTTCGGTAAGATGAACTATTAGTTCAGTTGCTAAAACTGAACATTAGAAATACACTGGCTTTCCCAAATGACATGTTTACAATTTTTATTGTACTGTTTAATGAATTTAAAAAACACTATTACTGAGTTGAAACTGTGTTTTGATAACTTCTAGGTTCATAATAAACTTATTTTTTTTAGGTTAAGTTACATTTAAAAGCAGTCTTTAGATTAAGTTTTGTTTACCTTTTCTCTCATTTTAGTTCATCAGCATCAAGAGAGACAGGTTTTTTTATTGGTTCGTGTTATGCTTGATCGGTAGATCAAACACTAATCTACCATATTGATTTCTCTCTCCTCTTCTTGTGTAAATGAAATTGTTAACTGTTTAGAGTATAATTAATGTTGCAGATTAGTTTTAGATAATTCATGTACTTTATGAAGTTTACCATAGCCATTTAATGTCACAGTGCTAAACATGAAACTAAACAAATGTTTTTTTGGTTTTGTTTTGTTTTTGTCCCCCCAAATTAAAAGGTGGGAAAAAAAAACTACATTCCAAAACTGACAAAGTCAAACAGAATAATTTTCCTGTCACCATAAGAAACTGGTCAAATACTCTGTCAAGAGTGATAATACGTTGTTTCAGGCTGGTTTCAAAAGTCCTCTCAACTACACAGCAACTTGCATAAAAACACCACAGGTTCTAGCAGTAAACATTGTTCTTACCAGTGCATCTGCATTGTGCTTGAGTGTCTTAGCCTCTTGCAAGTAGTGATCAGCTGAATGAACCCTGAAGCAAAATTATAAGCAAATTTACTAATGTGTATCATTGACTAAAAACATAATAATTTCCTGTAAAGTTACATCTCTTAAATAAACAAGCTAAAAATAACACAGAGTTCTATCAGCCGATCTTTCATAATGGATTTATCCAGATTTTTTTCAGTCATCCAGGTAGATCGATAATCAACCTCCCTGAACTCCACCAGCTTCCCACTAAGGCAATACAAAAGACCCACAGTGATCTCTCTGTCCCACAGAGGAAACAGATCCTCCTACCTGTCCTCAAACATCATCTTGGATCTCTGAGACCGAGAGCCATCCGTGGAAAGAGGAGGCACAGCCAGCTGGTTAGTAGATATTTTCTCCTGCAGAAAAACAAGACAATTGTTTTGTTACATTATGAAAACAGAGTAATGGACAAAAAACATTGTGATTCTGTACATTTGGACACATGAAAACTATGAAAACAAAAAACTCCCTCACATCAACTTTGCCTTCGCGCGTGCTGCGTCCCTTGTCGTCTCCTTTTTTGTGTTTGGACGTGGAGCTACCCTTGCTCCCATGGCTACCCGCTTTTTTACTCATGTTGCCACTCGATAGCAACGTAGATGATTGGTTTACTGTCCCCTTTCGACTTGGATGGTCCGACTTGGGTGTCCGCTGAGGACCCGATATGGAGGGAGAGGGTACCGGCTCCTCTTTCTTCTCCAAAGGTCTTTTTGACCTGGTGGAATACAAAGCATTTCTCTGATAAAGCTGTAATAACAGATGTATTTTGCAGCTATAAAGTTCTTAGAGTGAAACTAGGAGTAGATGACATGTTAACAATTCAGGTACTTCATGACCAAGATGTAATCAACAAGCAAATAACGCAAATTTCTGGTTTACGCTTAATGTTAATGGGTTTATTTTCTGAATTGTAAGAGACGTGAAAAAGCTTGTGGATACATTTGCTTTTCCTTACAAAATGAGGTAGTGCTGCTGCACCAAGTGGGCCAGAGTGGAGTGAATCATTATAAGGACAAAGAGACAGAATACTCACTCTTTACTGCTGGTTTTATGAGGAGACTGAGTTTTATCATCTGGCTTGAATCGCTTACTCTCTGGCTTCGTGCCTTCCTCATCGGTCTGAAAAAAAAAAAAAAAACATCAAAAAATCTCAAGAAAACTTTGCTTTATAAATGGGTTGTGTCTTTTTTTTATTTAACAACCTATAAACTTGTACTATGCATTACGTATTCCCGCGTTTTGCAATAGTGAAAGATAAATCTCTATTTTATTTGAAATTCTTTTATTTTTGTGGCATTTTTAAAGCCCTGTGGACATTTTTCTGCTTCTTTTTCCCCCTCTAATCCACATTCAAAACCTTAGGAGACACATGTTTTGGTAAAAATTCGATTTGTGGCCTATCCAAATGGCCATAAAATCCAGAAATTATTTCTCTTGCATTGAATGATATTATAAAAAATACTTGAACTGGAATTTATTAGCTAACTTGGAGTGCTTTAATGCTGTGTACTCAGTTGCTATTGACCGTAATACATTGTGGAGCTCAAGCTGACAATTTTCCAGAAATTTGGAATATTAAATAAAAACTTAGAAAGCCCAAATTGTTTAGTGTAGATCTTTAAATTATCTGCCTTGTTCAGTTTGGTTGGATCACCTTCATTCTTGTTTTACCTCCTTTTCTAACACACTTTTTCCTTCTACTTAACTTTCTAAATATATACGGTTGGATACTGGACTCTCTTTTATTGCCTGTATGTAATATTCTAATGTAATGACAAAATGAAATTTGAGTTAGTAGTTGTAAGTAACAAAATTAAATATTTGACATCACTCTGTGTAGTAAATGTAAAAAATGAACTTAAATGAAAAAAATAACTAAAATTAACTTTCTGATGATATTCTAGCTTATTGACATGGATCTGTATGTGTTTGTAAATAGTCTTACATATTAGTATGTGCATTTAATTACAAATGTGAAGATATATTTGTGGTCCATTTATGTACAAATAAACTATGATGAAACAACAGAAACAAAAACATTTAAGCTCAGATAAAATATGAAATGGAATTCAGTGAAAGACAACTGATGATTGTGATTATCAAAGAGAGAAGGGGTAGGATATTTTTTTAAAACGCTTCCATCTTCTCTTTTTAAACATTTTAAGATAATAAAAATATCTTTACATATATTTATTTCCAGTGTGAAGACATCAAAAACCTTCGCAATAAAAAACCATACCTTGTGTTTTCTCTTGGACTTGCTCTGCTTAGTGCTTTCTCGATCTTGAGAATCTTCCCTCTCCACTTTAATCTCTGTAAGGTCCTTGTATGGCCGCCCTGGGATCCTGGACAGCAAGCTGAGATCTATGGGAAATAGGAAGGAAAGGGAAGGGAATGGGTTTATTTCGCCCAAAATAAAAGGAAAGCCTCGGTTAAAAGAAACATACATCACGCCACACAGAGGAAATTTTTTCCATGTTACTGTAAGGCGTTACAGCAGTTTTGACTAACCAATCTTGACGAGTAAAACTTGCTGCTGAGGTTGTCTTGTGGGGTAGCGCTCCTCTGGGTCACTGAGCGGAGACAACACGGGAGAGAAAACGCACACGGGGGTCCGGATGCTCTCCGTATACTTGGGAGTCTGCGACGAGGACGGAATGCTGTCATTTCCCTCGGAATCAGACGAAGAAGAGTCTGTAGAAAGAATTTCACGAGATTTGGTGGGCGCTTTGGCCTTCCGCTTGTCTGTGGTTGTGGTGACAGAAGCTGCCGATGGCCGTGGAGAAGACTTGGGTTCTTTTTTGATGCTTGGTTTGCGTGAGCCTTTTGTGGCAGCAATGGGCCGGAGAGGAGGAATCTCTGGAGCCGGCTCAGTCTCCACTTTCAGACCTCCCTTAGGTTCCTCCACCACTGGGGGCTTCTCAGACTTCTTAGGCTGTTTTTTACCGACTCGTATTCTGGGATTTGTTCCCCCTTCACTTTGGGCGGGGGACTTCTGTCGCCCCCGGCCACCCTCTGTACCCTTGTCCCTGCTCGGTGGTGGTGGGGCTGAGTCTTTGGAGCTGTAGTCACGGCCTTCTTTTTTACACTTGGGTGGAACATTCTTGAACCAGTTGTCCAGCTGCCACTTGTTGGTCACAGGCTGTTCTGGCTGAAGCGGAAACAGGAGAACGCAGAATTAATAGAGGTACTCAGAAAGTAAAATACAATGTTCATAATTACTCTGGACACAAGAAAGACCAAACACTATTCCACATTCTATTCATGCCTCTCACGAACTTAAAATATTATTGATACACTTGTTCAATCAGTTTTTTTTTTTTTTACATAAAATATTGTCAACTAATGGTGTGAACTTCCCTATTTTATTCACCATTTTCTCTCCATGCTGTTGTTTTTATTTTTAAACAATTTTGAGGCAAAATCCTAAAACTGCTACTGTGCATGTTACTCAACAGGGTGTTGCTAGGTATCAACCTTTTAGAGGTGAATAAGAGTGAATAAGTTAGTTGATGCCATCAGCCTTACTCAGCTGGCAGTAAGAGGTTTCACAGCAAAGTCTTTCTTTTGCGTAAATCTCCCAGAATGCTGTGTGTTTCTGGATAACAGTTCTATGAATACTTGGCATATTGAATATTCTATGAGATATATTATCTATTGATATTGGTCATATATCTACCACGATATATATTGTTATTGAACTATTGTTCCATCCTATTTTAAGTAAAATCCAGTTTCCATAATTTCTGTAAAATGGTGAAAATATGTTTTTTATTAGCCATAATTACCCAAGTAAAAGAAAAACAAAACTTCAAATATTTGGCTATGTGTAAATCTATACATGGCTTTCATTTTGTTACTCTTGTAACTTACTGAGACATACCTAACTAGTCTAAATATTTTTTTGCGGCCCCACAGTTTAGTATGATGTTGAGTGAGTGATTACTTCAGGAGAGACGGTCCGTGGGCGCTCGTTGGCCTCGCTGTCCGTCGTGCTGCTCTCACTCTCGCTGTCGGAACCCGAGCTGCTCTCGGAGCCGCTGTGGCTGCTCGAGTCGTCCCTGGATGGCTCGGCAGCTTCACTGTTATTGCTGTTGATGGACAAAAACAGGAAGTGCTTTTATCTTACAAACAGCAACAGGTAAATGTAATTCTCTCACTCTCCATGAGGACAAACAACATTTACATTCACATGTGGCTTTAGGTTACACTTATGTTTTTTTTAAAGATTTAAAACAAAATTTTAAATATTTTTTAACATGCACCATCTTGATCTTTGTTAAATTTAGTATTGTATTTTTTTTTTTTTACAATGCTAAGTAAGTTAGCATTATAATGCTAAACGTAGCAGCTGTCGATTCCCTGTATAAGATTATTGCTGAGATTTATGTCAACATTAAAGTACTAAGTAAATGGCTCTACATCTTATCTTTGTGTTTCAAACAAAAGCAATTTAATACTAGTGAAAGGTTTGGTTGTGATATTTTCTGACTAGCTTCATTAAAAAGAAAAAAGACAAGCTTTGTAGTGCCAAAAAGTGGAATATGTTTAAAAGCTGGATTCATACTGCTAACCAGATCTGATGCTGGCTCTAAGTAGACATTTATAAAAAAGAAAATAGACCAATTTTAGAAAAGGTAGTATCTCAAAATATGCATACTGCAATAATCCGCTTTTAATAAAAATGTACAACGCCATTTGAGTCACAACCTGGTGGACGTAAACAACACTGACTTCTTCATGCTGCCAACCTCACCTTGCTGATGTGTTCCTTGAGGCATTCTTGGGTTCTTGTTCCCCATCGCTGTCCTCGCTGCTACTTACTATCAGATCTTCCTTCAGCATGCTGAGCAAATAAAATTTCAAAACGATGAAAGCTTTAAGTGCTACAACTGCTGCTCCAGGGCTTGAGCTTTGTCTAGTTTTTATTAAGTCCAAGATTACGAATGTACTTATTTAAATTTTAATGTAAATCAATGAAGAAAAAAAAACAAAAACATGCACTTCTGACAAGCCACACACTTACGTGCTATCTTTAGGCTGATGGCTGCTGGAGCTCTTTGATGAACTACCACGCTCTAAGACAAAAGAAATTAAAAAGAAACTTTACAGAAATACATAGTATGTACACAATTAATTGTCAATATAAACAAAAAGAACAAAACAAAAAGTGCAAACATATATTTGAATTGCAAAACTTACTATGTCCACTTGGAAAAGAGTGTGTATCCTAAGGTAAACAAGATAAAACAACATAAAAATGTTTTTCTTTTTCTTTCGCCTTGAAATTTGTTTGATTGGCATATTGAAATCCACAATTTTAAATAGTAATTATCATCATCATTTTACAAAATAAGGTTTGGTTGTTTCCTCCTCATAAAAACAAAAAAGGCCTGACTGCCCTTATGGAACAATCAGAGAATCACTTAATGAGTTAAACTGCTGGCACAATGCTGACCTTGGTGGGGAATGGAAACTTGGAGGGTTCTGTTTTACAGGGAGTGTGGATGGCTGTAAGTGGAGGAGGCCATGACTGAGTCATTTCCTGAAAGAAAAAAAAAAAATCAGAAAATACACACATACACACACAAACACACACATATTGAGGCATAAAAAAACAAGGAATCAAAAAACTGAGATTAGGACCAGGGTATCGCTGAATTATTTCAGTCGATATTGTTTCCCTCTGTACTTTGATGATTGATGAACTATTTAAAAGAAAAAGACCAGTTCTTACATACCTTTAGGATTTCATCGACACAGTTGGCATCACTGGATCCCTGTTGAAAAAAAAAATCATTAATTTAATGATTTGCTGATGTTTTCATAAGCATGATTTCAAAAGAGCAGGTGAGGAGGCTTCCACATAGAGCACCATGAGTCATCCTTCAGACATTTTGTTTTTATGCATCACTACAAGTTAGAATGGTGTTGAGAAAGCAGAAATATGTTCCGTTTATTCTCTTTATCGTCATGAAGAAATCCTTTTCTAGCTTGATCATTTTTATAGATGAAGTCTTACCTCGACAGGCTGGGACGGGATCTTGAGTTTTGTAAGCGAAGCTTTGCCCATGGTCTTCACTTCTCCCATGGTGCTGCTGTGTGACTGGCCGCCGTAGCTTTCGGCCTGTGAGCTCTTGGGTTCGGCCGTTTCCTGGCCGTCCATAGGCCGCACGTAAGCCGTGGGCTTTTGCAGCATGGAGCTGGGCTTGGAGACGAGCGACGGGGGGAAGGTTTGACTTGAGTGCTGCCCGCTGGGGAAAGACGTGTGAACCCGTGAGGGGGAATCCCAGTTAGCCTCTCTGTCTCTGGGTGACTTGTTGCGGTACTTGGGGTGATGCTGTTCAGCAGACAAGGAGCTCCGTGAGTGACTGCTGGAAGAACTCAACGAACCCTTCGCCGGACTTGAAGTGTGAGACTTCGAATGCTCCGAGCCTCCGCTGTGCTTACTAGATTTCTTTTCCCGCACTTCCCCTCTTTGGCTACTGCTGCCGCCGCTATTACTGCTGCTGTTCCTCTGGCTGCTGTGTCCACCTGAGAGTCCGGAACGCTTCTGTGATTGAGAGGAAGATCCACCTGGTGGTGCGCCTACAGGAGTCCACTTACTGCTCTGGCTACCACCTCCACTACCCACACCTCGCTGGTCTCCGCCAAACAACGGCGGGCCGGACTTCTCCTCGGAGGAAGACGAGCTGTTTGAAGGTTTACCAGGAAGCTTTGGAAGAGTGTCACCAATCGGCTCTTTCATCTCGTCGTAATTGCCCAACATGCTCTGGATACGGTTGGACAGTAAATCTGCCTTGCTGGCCTGAGAAAAGAAGCAGATGATGGAGTGATGATTAATAATGAGCAATGAATGAGTGATGCAGATATCAGAAATAAGTAAAAACAGGAAACCGAGGTAATAATAAAAGAGAAAAGGAAAATAAAAAGATTATTTGTGTAGTTTTTGCTACTGAGGTCATACGTTGAAACATAATCAAAAGGTTTTAAGCCTGATCAGCCCTGACCATTAACTGTCAGGTCTGAAATGTAAAAATCTAATCTGTTTTTCACCATTTCTAAGCATGGTGTGTTTACAACACCACTCTGGTAGTTACTGCATGAAGCACATTCAACTTTAACTATGGAGCTTTTTCATTTTTGTTGAATATATCAGACTTGAAAATTCTAACAGCCTTTTTTAAAAATCCTCAGAATTTGGTATAAATTCAAATATTTACAGTGACTAATGCTAACAATATAAATAATTAATAAATTACTTTAAAACACCTGTTCAATACTTTTGTCATTATTTTAAAGTCACCATAAAACCCTTGTGACGTCACCTCTGCTTCAACACCAAAGGCACGAGAAAAAAATATTTTCGAAGCTGATTTTAAATGTGCAATTATTTATCTTTAAGATAAATTAGAATCTGGTAAGATTGTTACGAGCAGATCACAGCTTTTAAACCATGAAATCAGCTACAAAATGATCCTGGATGAGTCTCTAAATTTACCCTAAAGAATCACAAAATTTCACACCTTCATTGAACAAAAGAAATCAAGAGTTATACTACTAGTGACAGATTATACAAACATTTCCAGGACATAACTAGTCTCACCAATCCTGTTTGTTTATTCTGAGCTCTGAACAGTCCTTCTGAACTAAGATAAGGGTCAGCGTCGGCACAGAGGTTAATCAATCACTCTGAGGGCCACGGGTTCCAGTTGATTTGTTTGCAGACTGTGCAAAGTCTCCAGTTTCACATGCAGTCCCACACCTCTGTTTTGTTTGACAGATTCACACCAAGGGTGAGGAAACACAAGCCGTTATCTGCAGCAGGAAATGTTAGCGGCTTGGTCATAACGTGCACTCCTGTACCTCCTGCTAGCATGCGGCCTGGGTCTCATTAGCACAGCTGGAGGAAGAGTAGTAGCACCTCTTTGGCTTCTAGTTTTTTGGTTTCAGTCGATGTTGCTTACAGCAACGAAAAAAGTCAAATTAAACTATGACCAATCAGTGAAATGTTGGGTAAATTTGAGAAAAGTTCACACAAAGGATTATAGTTTAAAACTGCAAACATTACAGCTTCATTATTGTCTTAGTTTGTAAAAATGTTTGATTGCACCACTTCTCACTGTGTTTGCAGAGTACTAGGGCTGTGCAGCAATCTAAATATTGTGTGAGCATATTAAACAATGAGTCCATTGTGCAAAACTGATTGTATTGCACTTTTGTAACAAATCATAACGTGCAGGGGTCATCGCAGAGTCAAAACTTACTGAAACAAAGTGGAGATTTTTCAAACTGCAAGAAAAAAATAAACTTAAAATGAACTCTGTTTTACATTGACCCCACAAAATTCATTGTTTAGTCCCAGATATCAGGCATCATACAAAGGTAAAGTAAATTCTACAATTTTTTTTCACCTAATGTCAAATTGTGCTTACCTGTATTGGGCTTTTTTTTAGAGTAGAATCAGTGTAAACAGAAAGAAAACTCAACATGCCTTTTGTCCTCTTCAGGTCTCATCAAATTGAGGCACAATTTGGTAAAGAGACTGATTTGAGTGGTGTTGCTTATAGGTCGTCTGTTTTAAATTAGAATAAAATGTGCTACATACAACAGCGTTTATAGAAAGTTAAATACTCTTCACTCTGCGCGAATGAGCAAGCATATAAACTCTGCCCCATAAAAAGGTTCCTGCTGCACTGGTCTAGATCCGGGAGGCCGCAGCTGCAGCTGTGTGTGCACACGGCCTTGAAAGCATAACGCTGTAAACTTCCACTTAGCGAAGCATGACAGTCAGAAAGTCAAACTAAAGCTTATATAAGGGTCGCACAAGCAGTTGACAAGATACGCAAAGTACAAAAAAATTGAATCTTTAAGAGTTTCTTTTGTCATTCTTAGTCTGCACAACTTTACCATTAAAGTCAACTTAAAAGCAACTTTCTAAGAAAACTTGAGAAAATCTGTACAGTAAAAAATGTACTTTATTGATAAAGGTCAAGGAGTCTTCCGTCTTTAATGTCAGCTTTCATCTTTCGCTTTGTTGTGGTCCAAAACACACACACATACACCCTGACACTCACTCACCTCTGGTGGCTTTCCCATCAGAACAACCTGTCAGAACACATTCCTTCCTGCTTGTTTGATGGCTAGCTCCAGCTAAGAGAGAGGAGCCACTTACATCTGCTCAAATCTGGTTAGTGGCAAAGATTGGAACTGGTTCAGAGAACTTAAAATCCTCTTTACAATTAAACTGGCTGAGAGGAGCTGGCTGGCCTACATTTGCGCATGCAGGTACAATGCGGAAGACATGGGAGGAAGTGCAACACCAACGTAGTGAACTGCTTTGTTTACTTTTAACAGCTGACAGACTTGAGTTGTCAGCAGACCGTTTTCTGATTTGAAAGTTGGCTACATTAATCACTTAATATTCTTTGAAACAAATCATTATGATAACACATTTTAATCTCTGAGATTATCTGGATTAAAACAAGGTGAAGCATCACTATGAGACTTTTCAGACATGTTGGAACACAACAACGTATCTTGTGGGGGGTGGAGTGGGTGGGGGGGTTGTTGCATTGAGCAGATGACGCAACAATAGCAACTTGCTGTGAAAGCTCTTGATAATTAAGTTTTCATTTCCTGCCTATATTGCAAATACCTGTTAACTGATCAAATACATACCAGCTGTGAGAAAAAAAAAAGGAAAAAAAAAACCCCAAAAATTTACCACTTTGTAGGGTTCAGGGAAGAGGGGGGAATTTGCTGGAAAGGCCTCTCCTCCTCCTCCCTGTTGGATTTCTTGATTTCTCCTTTCTCTTTCTTTCATTCGGAGCACATTCCGGTCCTCACGGTTCATGTTGCTGTCAACACAAAACAGAGCATCGAGTCAACATAAGAACATGCTACGCCAGCTCACATGATCTTAAATGAACAACTTTAGGTCGCACAGGAAACAGAAGTATGCAGAAAGCTCCCTTGTTGTTTTTTCCCCCCACAACATTTTATAAAACATTACATTTTCAAACTGCCATCATATATAACATCAAAAGAAAACACTGAGACAATAACAGAGATGACCTGCGGAGAAAGTAGCCTCTAATAAGCTTAGGCTCGTCACACAATTCAGTTTCCGACTTCTACTGTAAATAATCCTCATGAGCAGATGGTCAATGTCATTTCATACAACAACCAACAGCACTGATGTAATAGTGTAAGAACAATGTTTAATCTTCTCAAAAAACATAGGCAAAGATTATTTTCACAATATTTGTCTTACTGTCTTTTCTATCCTGGCACAAAAAGTATTGAAACTATTGACATGATGAACTAAACTGACAAAAAAACAAACAAACAAATGCAATGAAAGATCAGTTTTTACTAAAACCAATTTAAAAAATACTGCTCTGCTCCTTGTTTTCTATTTGAACATCAATGCTGATCCAATTAAGAAGCCCAAAAAAATAATTCAGGTTTTCAAGGCGTGGTGCAAATACCAAACGTCATACTTCAGCTGCCTTTGGTGGTACTCAGAGAGAATTTTGACCAAACTATTTGCAAAGTAAACATAAATTAAGAGCTCTACAAAGAATCAAGAGGCAGAAAGGTGTGTTGTTCAAAACAAACTGATTTTGGCTTCACCAGTGACGTTTTAAAACAGAATACTGTACCAGAATAAGTGCTGGTCACTACTTAGACCATGTTCATTCATTCATGTCTGAAATTGGATTATGTATCTGGGAATGCCGTTAAATCAAAGTTAGGTAAATTCTTGTTTCATAATAAAAAAAATTTTCTTAAAATTTGAACACTCCAACGCTCAGGAACTATGCAATCTAATAACTATATCTGCAGTTTTTTAGACACAAGCAACATTTAAAAAAAACAATGACAATTAAAAAAAACACCAAAGTGTCCTTAAACAGTTTCCTTTTACTGTAGCTTTTATGTTTTTTGTTTCAATGAACACACAACCATAATGCACCACATTCAAGGCAGTTTTGCAGCATAACAGTGCAAGCAGTTTATATTTACATATATGAAAAAAATCTCATCTGATATTATAATCATATTTTTAAACAAAACACGAGCATTCCTTAATTCCAATCTGACATAGGACCAATGAGTATTTTCCCTTATGTGTTCAATGTTTACCAGAAAGCAGCCACAGAATTTTAAAAATGGGAACAAGCTCATTTCAGTTCAGCTTGTTACCTGCCACTTTAAACAGACAGCCTCTAAATCCATCAGTGAAAACAATAACTTTACGCCTGTTGACGAAGTGTGACTGTACAGCAACCGCCCAGCCTCCTCCTAGATTACTAAACACACTTCATACAGGTGCAATTACAAAGCATGATGCATAATCCAGCATTAAAATACAAGACTGGGGGAAGTATCCATCTGAAATCATGAGCTTCCTGTAGGAAATGCTGAATCAGAACAGAGTTTAAAGGAGACCACTTGTTCAGAGGTTCTACATTTCTAAAACAAAGGTGCTTCACGTCATCAGCCACTCCCAAATACACATTCATATTAGATTCCTTCGTGGATGAGAAATATTCATAAAAGGTAAAGTAACTAAAATCATAACTATTAAATCGAAGCTGGTTTTAATCAGTATACATGTACATCATGCATCATCTCTGGTCTTCATCTGATTTACCATACAGCGATGAATTAGGACAGCACGAAAAAAGTAACAAAGTAGTTTTCATGATGACAAACTTACTACAACTGGCCCGACCACTGATTACCACCTTCAGACATTGAGTGTCTACAACAGCTCACTGTGCAGATGATTTACTAAAGCCACATTTGAGTAAACTGTGCTTAATGATAGTTATTTGGTTTCCTTTACCTCACAACTCACAGGAACAAGCTTTCATTTGAGGGTCTTTCAAGCTATAAATGTCGCCTGCGGTTTAAGAAAAAGCATTGGAGAAATAATGCTCCATACTTTTTGACTGCTGATACCAAGCTATGGTCTCTTTTGTGTACCAAAGTGATAGGCATTGAAAATGGAAACAAGCTCGTTGATGCTAGCAGGGAAAGGATTTGCATGTGTGAATGATCCGCCATTACCACAATGTTAATCAAAGGCCCCTGGCAACCGGATCTTTTGTGAACAAAGCTTGCGTCCATTCAGACCACAAACTGACCTGATCTGTTGATGTTTGTGAGCAGGGGTGAGAGACTGTCGCACTGTGGTAGACCTCTACAGGAAATCGTCACACGCAAGGCTCAACTGACTGTTGCTGGTTTTAGCAAGCTGAAGTAGAGATGTGGAGAAACGCATGAAGCAGCAGTCGGTTTTAGTTTTGAGCCCTTTCCAAACCAGAAAACAAAAATAGTGGAAAAAGAGGGAAGTCATCAGTGGAGAAAAATAAGTTTAAATGAAACTTGGGCTGAGCAACAATGAGCAGCAAAGCATACATTTTGGATAGATTCGAGCTTAGTCGAGCATTTGCGCTGAGGACAAAGCAAGCAGAGCATTCCACCCTTTCACCACTTTGAAACTTTGTAGTTTTGGCCGCTTCATGTCGGACTTTTTGGGGTACAAGATGGAGTCATTTGTCTCGGGACATTTTGTACAGACTAAGCCTCAACTCATAAAAACTGGAGTCCGTTCCCTCTGGCAAATTCAACAGATGATAAAAAAAAAAAACCTTTGGTGTATCGCGGTTTTATGGATTAAATGAAAATGATCTATCAGCAAGATGTAGTCCAGACTTTCTGGATTGATCTGGTGTTGAACAAATAAAAGTCCCCTTAAATGGGGATCAGAACTCAAAAAACCAGCTAAAGGGTGTGATATTAAGTTTTCAGAAAATATATAATTCAAACAGACATGTGAAAATTAACCACTTTAATTCCCATTCAACATGGAAATAAACTGATGGTAGGTGGGATGTTAAGAAAGCAGTTTCAATCTACGAAAAAGCAACGATACCATGGTACCTAAACGATAGCATTTCAGATTATTTTGTATCGTAAACAAGTATTTGTTCATGACAATAGAAAAAATTGTCATGAATATACTTTACTATGCTAATCAGCTAAATTTTAAAAGAGGATATTATATAAAATCAACTTTTGGAGTTCTTTATATTATGTTCCAAGATCATTCTCTTGTCAAAAATACACCTGGAGTTTTTGCTTTGATTTTTTTTAAATGCATGTTTAAAAAAAATCTTTGATGGCAATCATTCAGAGTGCCATTTGCTCACAAGATGCCACCAATTTACCTAAAGGTCTGCCTTGAAGCTTCCATCTTCAGCCCAGTTTACCCCTCCTCCACTCAACTCCACCAGACTGGTGGACTTGAGTGGAGTTAGCAAACACCTGGTGAAACTGTGTATTTGCTCAGCATATCATACAAAACGCTTCTCATTTCTCCTAAGAACAGTTGTAAATGGTATCATGGAGGAGCTCTGTTGCCATTATGCGCTGAACGAGGAGTCTCAAAGAGTCTGCGTTTCTTAAAGAGACAGACACAATTGCAAAGTCAAATTTTGTTTCAGGTCTTTTTTTTTTATGTGTACATCATTTTTATGCACAAAAAGTACCAGTTACTTGATTGTGCTATAAAATGGCACTATGTGCCTAAAAAACACATAATAAAATAATTGATAAAGTTATTGATCATCAACGCAAGTATAAAATGTCTTCCTGCCAGGTACAAACTAACATATGGTTAGTATGAAATGCTGCGAAAACAGCACCAGTTAGTGGCTTTAACAAGGCTGGCTATGAAACAAGCAATATTTCAAAAGGTATCCCAAGACTAAAGGGGTTAAACGGTCAACACTAGGGTCAGCTTCAAAACATGTCGCTGTTTTGAAGCTACATGTGGCTTCAAAACAGCATGAATTTGTGAATTAACCTGTAGCCCTACAGACAAAAAGCCTGTAATTTTGCCATAATGAAACCTCATTTGAAAAATAACCCAAAAAACACAACTCTCATAACAACTTTGAGGATTGGAGGATGTTGTTACTTAACATAACAGGTTCGAGGGGGCATTTTGAACTGACCTGGAGAGAAACAATTCTTGTAAGTGAAAGGTCAAAATGGTTCCTATAAATGAAACTAATCTATACAAACTTACGATTTTGTCATAAACCTCCAAAATGTACAATGTGTGACTTAAATCACTTGTTAAACACCATTTACCTCAATTCTACAAAGTTCCCCCCAAAAATATCTTTATAAGGTGTAGCTTGTTGTCAAACATCAATATCAAACAGATGGTAATTCTAAGGTCACATAATTGCTTAAAGTTACAGTCAGGTCAACTTTGACTTGCATATTTGGCCAAGCCCTTCTACACTAAAGACTAAAACTAAATCCTAACTAAAAGAGTTAGGATTTCTAGTTAAATCTTAAGCTGCAAAGTTTATTAAAATGCTCTTGTTGCTGTCTAACTCGCAGTTAAGTTTAAATACTATTATTATCCATGTGTAACTGTAGTGAAATCAACAGTCTGCCGAACTTAAAAGGTCAAAGTCTCCAGAGTTGAGAACTCCAGTCACGTTGTACCTAAATTAATCAGCTCATCTGTCTCTCTGCAACTCACAACATAACAGCCAGGCCTTGTGTTATATTCAAGAAAAAGAGAGAGCCGATGGTTATCTGATCACCATGAATACAGGACAGGGCCTATGTCACACAGTCATTATGCAAGCTCAAGCAAACAGAGAAAAGAAAACCAAGTTGGGCATAAAACATTGGAGGATTTTGTTCTCGATTGACACGAGATTTAAAAAAAAGAAGAAGAAGAAAAAAAAAAGAGCAACTAAGCAAGAACTTGTGAGTCTTACCCTGACTGAGAGGCCATGGCCTCAACCACTGAAACATTGGAAGAAGAAGGGTTCAAAGGATCTCCTAGGGATTCAGAAGTTCTCTCAACCTTGACCTGAGCACTGACCGCCTCCTCTGAAGCCCCTTTTCCAGTAAATGTTATCTTTTAGCGTCCAGCTGAAAGACTGCAACTCCAGTTTCTTTACTCGACTCGAAGGTACAGTGCATTTCCTTGGAGTGGAGACAAATCTGACTCAGAGAGGGGAGGGGACTGCCTGCTCTTGGTAGATACCAAGTCTGCAAACAGCGGGGGAGTCACATGCAAGGTAAAGTCTAGAGGCTGAGGCTCCTTTTGTTTCCGTTCTGTTGTTCTGATGTTAAAGCATGAATGGAGACCTGGAGAGCTGAATAGAGCCCGGGGGTGCAAATGTATGTGGAAGGCTGTTCTGAATAATCAGAATCAGCTTTATTGGCAAAGTTTGTGCACACAGACAAGGAATTTGACTTTGGAGCCACATTGTCCCGACATTTTAATTGTAAATACATAAATTTAGAAGGGAGTTAAAGCTTTAAAATAAAAGTACATAAAAAGAAACAGTGGAAATGACTAACTGTTTGGGGGACAGATTCAGATAACTAAGAATATGCAATGTCAGGAATGATGGATGAACTGTTATTAAATGTTAAATATCAGTCTGTTTTTAACTGAATGTGATTAAGTTATTAAAGAAAATGGTGAAAATATGCTGGAGTGAAATACATATTACAAAATAAAAATTAAATTAGTTTAAAAAGTATGAAAACGTAACAAGTCTGACAATAAATAATATTTCAAAAAGAGCAAAAGGGGATCAATAAAAGAGAAATAAATCTCACCTCTCTCAAAGAGTGGCACTGTCCACCTCCTCCCATAAAAGGAGATGTTATTTTACACCACAGGCCCTCTGTCTGCGTGATGTCACTGAACAGCCAATCAGAATCCACCTTTCAGTCTACAAACTCCCTCCCTCCTCCCCACTATGCCCCAGGCACAAGGCTAAGCACCCATGGAGTCTGTTAAAGAGACAGTGCGCAGGTTTCTACCCTGCCACTGCTCACTAACAAACATGACACATTTTCATCAGCTATGCACACTGATGAAACAAGTGGGCACATGTGGCATCACCGCATGTTGCAAGAATTTCCATCAAATACATGTCGTGAAAATATAAAACTAGTTAATCTTGAGTTATCTACATACATGCTGGATATATAATAAATCCTCTGTGAGGGGCATTTTTTCATCCTCTACAGCCTTTAAGTAAGACAGTAAGAGTCACAAGTTATTCATGTTTTAAGGTTGTAATGAATGATGAACTGATCAGCTTTTTCCCATCCTATAACGATTTTGTTTTTTTCTGTGGCTTATGCCTTCCAATTATGGTTCATTTTTTATTTCTAAAGACCATAGCACAAAAAATGTATTGATCAAGTTGGTACTTTTAAATCCAGTAGAAAATGAAGTAGGGAAAAACTCAAAATGAGCCCATCAAAAAAAAATTTAAATGATCAGAGCTTTTACTTAGGGAATTGGGGAAATCGATTTTTTTAGTACTTGATTTGCAGATCAATGAGAAAAAATTTTTGTTCTAGTAAAGACTTATTAACCAAACAAAAGCTAATCCTGAGTGATGCTCCTGCAACATGGAGAGAACAAGGATCACAGCTATGTTTGGAGTTTGTTAGCCAGGATTTCTGAAAATATCAGCTTGTGGTTGACAGCTGAAAAGATGGCAAGTATCAATGGCTTGTTTCAACATGGCGAGTCAAAATTGGAGTCGACTCATTTAAAAACTATCACCTGCACTACAAATGGGTTCTTGAAACCTAAAAGAAATCCCACAGTTTGGACCAAAGACCAGATGAAGGAATATTACTGCTGCACTGCAGATTTGGATGGAATTATTGAGCCCTCAGGTTTTTCTCTCTGGTGATATCTGAATATCATCATTTCTGCCATCACAGAAGACAAACATAAATTAGATCAGTGGATAAGACTGGTTTCAAATGTAAGCATGGGCTGATTGCCCATTAATCAAAATTATGGAGATCAGCACCAATTTATCAGCACACATCTATTCAAAACAAATAATCCCCTCAAGTAAAGCACATGTAAATTTTTATACAATTCAAATCATCTGTCCTCATTGATCCCAGCAATATGCAAATCACTAAAAGCAACAGAAGCCCAGCTGAGGATATCCTATTACAACAAGCAACAATTGCTCAGGTTTCACAGTATTCCACTCTTGAAAGTAAGATTACCTCAGAAAACATTGCTTATTAACCCTATATTTAAAGAAAGCTTTTTACCATCAGCAGATGCAATCTGTCTCTGGTATGTCTTACAGAATGAAAAAAGCTGACTCCAGAAATACTGTGGTGTAACACATTGAATGATGTATTGCATAAGTTACAAGTATCTTTGAAACAGAGTCCACATGAATATTTATTAAAATCATAAATGTTTACAAGGCTGAATTGTATCACTCAAAGTTTTACAGGTGGTTAAAAAAAAGGAAAAATAAATGTTTTCACAGCTATGTTGATATAGCTACCAAAGAAACATCCAATGCACCTCAGTTGAAAAGTACGGGGAAGTAATGGGCACAGACAGGGGTGAGAGCCTCCCTCCCCCGGTGCTTTTGAAGTGAACCTGCTGACGCAGGAATTCCACAGAGAGCATCAATTCAGCTGAACATTTCCTCTGTAAGCAGCTGTTTAGAGAGGAATCCTGAGAGCTGCTGTTATAATCAAAGCAAAGTATGAAAAAAATGAGAAACTGTCCTGAAATAATGGTTTTCATGATGTGAAAATCTCAGTTGCAAATTGAAGATTTAATTTCTAGATAAACTACAGCTACCTTTAACTCACAGTTTGTGATCAATAATATCATTACAAAACTCCTAGCAATAATTTTAATCCTTGGTTTGGCATTTGAACTGAACCAGCTCAAGAATCTTTCTTTTTGGTTTAAAACCTACAAGTAAAAGAATTTAAAGGCAAAAGGAAGAAAAAAGAAATGTATTTTGACTGACTCTTCTTTACTGCTAGAAGTCTAGAACCTATATGATCAACTAACATGAAAAAAAAGCTAAAGATGTGATAAGCATGCAAAGATCTTGCACCATATTTTATCATAAATTAAAATTTGCATCTATTCGTTAATGGAGCAAAATCAAAAAGTCGACAACCTTTTTCTCACACTAAGTTTTAATTTTTTATATTTGTACAATGATCAAATAAATTCTTTTTTTTTTAAGAATCTCTTAACTGTTTGAGTCTTTTTCTTTCTTCTTAAAAGAAATTAAAAGTTTTTGTAAAACATTCTACACCTACAATGTCTTCCCTGACCAGTTAAATGCCTTCAGCAGACCTAAGTCTTAAAACAGTTTACATTTAAATTATTCTTTTGTAGAGTCTTTGGAGCTTTTATTTAGTTTGATTAGGTAAGAGGATTTTCCCAAATGTAAAAAGTGAAAATTAGGACTGAAACTGAATAAATAGTCAATTTCCAGCAACCTGTCACCCTGTCTTGCAGTTAGATAATGAATTGATAATAGGGGAAAGGGAGCTTTGATATTACCCTGGATTATGTTTGCTTTTAGCCCATCTCAATCAGTCCATGTTCCAACTCTGAGCTCCAACACAAATAACGCACTGTTCTGGGTGCTTTCTGCCAAAATGCAACTGGAACATGACACACATCTTCCTGTTACCTTGCTGAAAGAATGCGTCATTCAAACCAATCTACTTTTCAGAAACTTTTCAACATTTGTCCAAACCCTTGATTAAGTTTGGTCAGTTTTTAAAAGAAATTAGGAATTCAGAACATTACGTTTGGATTGAATAGGTGTGAAAACAGCAGTTTTAAGGAAATTATAATATTATATTGTCATGCTGACCACAAGACAAATTGAGAGAGGACTACAGAGGACTCAAAGTTAGTAATTTTTAGTATCTGAAAGGCATTTTAAGCTGAAGTCAGAGAAGATCTGTCAAGCAAATGAAAAGAAATATGTATTTTCCACATGTTGATACATGTTTTCCACATGTTGATACATGTCTGCACTTCATTCATAGTGTGAGAGAAAAAAATCAGAGGAAATAAGCAGACGGCTGATCTGAGTTCAGCTTCTGTCTGTCTGAGAGTGCTGGGTTAGAAAGCAAAATCTCAGTTAAATCAACAGTTTTCAGGGATTACACAAGTGTCACTATCTACAGTTAGTACTCCTAACTACAAAAAACAAATATTACTTCTACAACTACATGTTTTGTAATATATGGAGACTTGAATGAACTACTTATGGAAACAACAAGCCTTGAAGACTGGCAATAGATGTATAATTCTAAGTCACAATATGTTGTCTTTATTGAAATGGTGAGAAAGACTATTGAAAAGTTCCTCATGATCTCTAACTAGAAATCTGCCAATGCAAAATACAAATACAATGTTAATAGAGAAGCTACAAAATCAAAACAGGAACAGCACTGCCATATTTTAATAAGTGAACACAGCATTTGGACAATATTTTGTAACCACCAGTGAAAACACTGTTTAAAATATCAAAAAGAGGAATCTTAATCTTAACAAAAAGAGGTGACCAATGTCACATTTGACAGCATAGCAACATTTTTGTTTGTTTGTCCCATTTTGGCAATCCAGGTCTTTAAAATAAATTTTTTCTTTGGCTTGTTGAGAAATTGTATTTTCTACTTACACAGTTTTGTTTCTATTTTGTTTTTTAAGGTACGCTGTTTCAGAACACCTGTTCTGGAACATCATAAAGTAGACTTTAGATAACTCCTGCCGTTTATTTAATTGCTTATTTCAGTGGTTCCCAAATTGTGGGGTGTGTCCCCAAGGGGAGCTGGAGGTGGGAGGGTACAGTGCCATTGCAGGGGCAGCATGGGAATGAAGAAAAAAAAAAAAACACAAAAAAACAGTTACACTAAAGTGTTTCAGTGTAGTATGTTTTGCTGCAACCTGAAGTGTGAAATAAACTTCAGTGGCGTTTGAAAACAAAATGTATGTGTAGGTTTATGTCTGGTTGAATGATGTGTGTGCCCAGGTGATTTTTTTTTTCTTTTTTGGGGGGCATTTTATTGTAATCCATAGGTGGGGGCAGAAAATCTTTGGGAACCACTGGCTTATTAAGACATTCTGACCATTGTAAATGGACTTTATTATCACAGGAGAACTTTG